CGCACGCGCACACACACGCACACACACACACATGAAAGTTCAAAGGATGGAATGACATGGTTTTTGTCCTAGTAGCATTAAAAGAGGGTAGAGAAATTGATAACATTAGTTGGAACTTGGTCGATGAGTAAAACAATAGATGTGAAGGTTGTGTTCCAAAATTTTAATAGCATATGTCAATGGGCTACAAGTGCAAGACCTACTTTCACAATATGGTGATGTTTGGTTTAAGGCGAACTATTATGCTAATGCGTACGAGGACATGAGACATGATTATATCGACAAACAATGGCCCAACGATCATATGATTTGAATGTTATCACAAACGAATAGAGAGATTGGTGGTGCACGAAGGGAACTGGGCCGGAGAGGACAAAGACCGACGGTTTTTCCCAGGTTCAGGCCCCAGATGTGTAATAGACCTATGTCTTGCATTATTCCATTGAATGAATATGTATAATAAAGACTTGTCTCATACACTAGATTAGAGAGCTCATCCTTATTTATATAGGGGAGTGGTAGTCTGGTAAACACTTATATCATGTATGGATTGGAGATCCCTGGATATATGGAGAGCCAATCTCCGCATAACCATAAGATCCCTAATTTTCATGCTCCCAACCTTTACACCTCTAGAGTTTCCACTTGGGTACTCGAAACACCTTAAGGTCATAGAAGACTCATTAAGGAGTGAAAGGTCCAGACCGTTCGTATGGTGTTCCCACATGAGGAGAAACACATATTCACTGAGAAAATACTCATTTGTTAAAATATATTAAGTATTTTTGGGCATACTCCACCCAAGCACTTTGCATGGCTATTATATACCTGACAAACAACACAAACCATTCATTGTTTGCTTGGAATTGTGCAAAGATTTCTAATCTTTTGTACTACGCACTTTATATGATTATTAGCTCACTGGTAAGCAACCATTTAATGTCCTTGGAATTGTGCAATGATTTTTGAAACCTTATTTTGTACCAGAAGATATATCCAACTAAAATTACTATAATCATCCATAAATCTTATGAACTAAAATGTCCCTATACATATATGGGAGGATAGAGAAAAAGATGACTTGTTTCCTATTGATAACCACAAAACACGTGAGATTATTAAGATGGTGAAAATGGACCAATACGAAAGTAGGATTGCCCAATCGACTATGCCATGTATCTACAATGGGTGGGGACGTGGTGGCTGCAAGATCTTGACCCTAGGACGACTGCCAGTTGTCAACAAGATAGAGAACCCTCTACATGTGTCTCAAAAAACTTCTCTGTGATTCATACGCATTATAAAAACTATTCATGATAAATTCTAGAAAAAACATTATTCCCATAAGTGAGTTGATGAACATAAAAAGGAGTTTTTGCAATCTTAGGAACATAAAGGCTATTATCAAGATATGACAAACATAGGATTATTACCACCTTGTTGATCGCATGGATCAAGGTTGGATGAATATTTTCCTAGGAATGAGAGATTTTGCTGCTCCATTATGGCTTGAGAAGACATCATATGAGAATACAACTTAGCGAGCGACACGAAATTGTTTTGAGTCATGATTAATGACAACACAGGATTGATGGAAATATGCCCTAGAGGCAATAATAAAAGTGTTATTATTATATTTCCTAAATCATGATAAAGGTTTATTATTCATGCTAGAATTATATTGACCGGAAACTTAAATACATGTGTGGATACATAAACAAATACTGTGTTCCTAGTGAGCCCCTTCTAGACTAGCTCATTGATCAAAGATGGCTAAGGTTTCCAAACCATAGACATGAGTTGTCATTTGATAATGGGATCACATCATTAGGAGAATGATGTGATGGACAAGACCCAACCGTTACATAGCATATGATCGTTCAGTTTATTGCTACTGCTTCCTTAATGCCAAATACATGTTTCTTCGAGCATGAGATCATGCAACTCCCGGATACCGGAGAAATACTTTGTGTGCTATCAAATGTCACAACATAATTGGGTGATCATAAAGATGCTCTACAGGTATCTCCAATGGTGTCTGTTGAGTTGACGTGAATCGAGATTGGGATTTGTCACTCCGTGTAACGGAGAGGTATCTCTGGGCCCTCTCGGTAATACAACATCACAAGAAGCTTGCAAGCAAAGTGACTAAGGAGTTAGTTACAAGATGATGTACTAAAGAATGAGTGAAGAGACTTGCCGGTAACGAGATTGAACTAGGTAAAGAGATACCGACGATCGAATCCCGGGCAAGTAACATACTGATAGACAAAGGAAATTACGTATGTTGTCATAAAGGTTCAACCGATAAAAGATCTTCGTGGAATATGTAGGAATCAATATGGGCATCCAGGTCCCGCTATTGCTTATTGACCGGAGAGGTATCTCGGTCATGACTACATAATTGACGAACCCGCAGGGTCGCATGCTTAACGTTCGTTGACGCTGGAGTAGTACTGGGATATTCGATGAGTGGTAATCAAATGTTGTTCGGAGTCCCGGATGAGATCCCAGATGTCACGAGGAGTCTTGGAATGGTCAAGAGGTAAAGATTTATATATGGGAAGTCATATTTTGGGTTCTTAAAAAAGGTGTAGTTTTTTCGGTATTTACCGGGAAGCTTCCAGAAGGTTCCGGAGGATTCCGGAGGGGTCCGAAAGTCCAGAACTGGGTCCACTATGACCCATGGGCTAGCATGGGCTGCGGGGATGTCCCCTGGCCTTATTGGGCTAGGCTCACCAAGTCCTCAAAAGCCCATGTGGCTAGGCAAAGCAAAAAAAGGAAGGAGTCCTAGTAGGAATAGGATTGGACTTGGAGTCCAAGTCCCCTCCCCCTTAGCTGCGCCCTAGGCCTTGGAGGGGCTGTTTCCCACGCCCCTCCACGTATATATAGAGGGGAGGGGGCGCCCCAAGAGTACACACCAAGCCCTTGGCGCCCCTCTCTCTCCCGTTACTCCGTAGTTCCACCGCCTCGTCCCGGCGACGCTTAGCGAAACGCTGTCGGTGCTCCACCACCACCATCACCACCATGTTGTCGTGTTGGTTGTGATTCCATCTACTTCTCCTCTCCCGCTTGCTAGATCAAGGAGGAGACATCGCCGAGCAGCACATGTACTAAAGTCGGAGGTGTCGTCCGTTCGGCACTAGATCGGTTCGATCGTAATTGGACCGCGAAGAGTATGACTACATCAACCGCGTGATAAAATCTTCCGCTTAGTGATCTACAACGGTATGTAGATGATCTCCCCACTCGTAGCTATACATCTCCATGGATAGATCTTGCATGTGCGTACAAATTTTTTATTTTCCATGCAACAATCCCCAACAAGGATTGTAATCAGAACTGATGCCACCCAATAGATATGAGAGCGCATGCTCTTTGGCGAGAGGGGATCCTTCTAGATCCATTGTATCATCGAGCTCGTTTATTTTGTTGAAATGGTCATTTGCCGAGAAGTCATTTTTCCTCATATTCGCCAATTGCCCATGAACCAAGTTTTTTTTTTTTTTTTTTTTTGCATTGGATTGGGAATAGAACATGCAACCTAAGTTAGAGAAACGCTTGGCCATGGTTGGCATGGCCGGCACATGCCCCAACATATTTGGAGATATTGACGCAAGCAGGGAACTCAACATTTAGTCCTATTTGACTCATGATTCATACTCAGGGTTTGTCACCTTATTACTTTTTCCTTTGTCTTTTTTGGTTACAAACTCCTTGGGTGGAGCCGCACTAGTCCCATAAGCATACCCGAGGACTCGATAACACAAGCAAGGCATTACCTGAGTTTTCCATCAGAGAAAGTTCCTCGGGTCCAACGTCACATTGATTAGATAAACATCAGAGAATGTTCAGAAAGGAGGATCTAGGCATGGTGTTTGAGCATATTGGAGAGGCGGCTCTCATACGATACCATACAAAATAGTGATATCAGATTGGTTGGGATGATGGTGCTTCGGCTAGGTCAATGTACTGCACCAAAGACTTGAGATATAAGTTGTATTTTGTTTTGGGCTACAACTAACAAGCCTATTCAACCTCAAAAATGAAAACAAGCATATTCGGTTTATAGAACACAGAATATTGGAGGAAGAGATAAAATATAACACATTTAAAATTTAATATTGTAAAATGTACAACAAGCTATGATTTGACAAAACTTGTTATTGTAAATTATAGCGGGTTATTATAGATTGAAGATTGATCAACATTTTCTTCGTACGTCGACCTCGTTTTGAAATTTAACATGGTGAAGACACTAGCTAGCAAGTTTAGGTGTTTCCATCCCTGTCATAGTAAATTAATAAATAGATATCATGTATTGTCCATGGATTTTTATTTTACACAGTTCTGTGTGGGGTTTTGTGTGTCCACAAATTGATTTACTATCATACCAATGCCCTCAGTCGTTCGGTAATTCTTGAAACATCTATGCCAATTCTGATGCTGAAGGCCTGCAAAATAAAAAAAAGAGGAATTTACGAAATTAATTAAATTTATCATTATTTTATATTTACATGGAGACCTCCAAAAATATTCCAGTCGCATCTAATTAAATTTAGAGGGTGCTTGGATTCAAGGGATTTATTTTAGTCGGACTAAAAATAGTCTCTTTAAGAGGCTAAAGCTCCAAGCACCTCTGACTAAAGAGGGACTAAAACTAGTCTTGAGACTAAAATGTTTTAGTCAAGGCACCCCTACTAAAATGTGGATTAGTCCTCTCTCTCCTCATTTAACTCCTCTCTTTAACACAGGCGAGTTCTGGATTGAAGGGTTTGGAGGATAATAAATGCTCATTAACTTGATTTTAGTCTCTTTAGTATTTGGATCCAAGCATGGGTGAGGCTAGCAAGTTTTAGTCCCACTACTTTTAGTCATGAGACTAAAACGTATCCAAGCACCCTCTTAGCACATACGTCTAGCTAGTATGGCAAGTGCATGGCAAGTGTGTACATATAAGGTTATTTTGAAACTTTTTGGCTACCTTTCCTCTATTTTTATTTTCTTGCTATGTTTCTTCAGCCTAGGAAAATGATTAGAGTGGTATTTAATGACCTGCAGTTTCCTCTCATTGTTTACAGGGACCCTCGTATTTTATTTTGTGCCTTTTTACTTGTATATACTTCATTAATTCAGCTTTATTATGCACTAGATACAAATAGCACTCTTCAAATAAATTTGAACACATATTTTTATAGGCTATCGAGCCAACACTCCAAAAAGGGGAAACACTTTTGACACAAAAATCATTTCATTCAGAAACTAATGCTTTAGATATGAATCCAGTGATACAATTTTAATGCCACATAACGCATATTTTATTGGTCTAACTAATTATTTGTCAAAATTTGGATCCGAGGACTCGTGCATGGCTTACATTTTGCAACATAGATGTATTTACTCGTCGCAGATGCAAAAGAGTATACTTATATATGTAACTATACCTATATATGTACGTACCCGAGAGTGTATAGTGTAAAATATTTTGTGGCCAGCAACGGAGTGATTGGCGTTGACGATGTCGGCCCCTTCTTCTTCATGGATGGTGATCACCTCATGGAGCTTGATCGGTTTCTCGGTGCTGCATATAAGCCTCACCTCCATGCTTGAATCGTCGGGTTGTCGCACCTCCACTACTGTTGGTGATGCGTCCAAATATTTATCTCCTTCCAGTGACCCCGCACCACTGCTTGTGGTAATGGTGGTAGTGGGCATTGAGATGTCACTAACTCTCCGTAAGGTAGCCATGGCTTGTGCAGAGGTCTTCTTACGTTGTAGCTCATCGACCCTCTCCTTGAGCTTCTTGATGTATGATGCGGCCACATCCAGGCTGCCTAGTTGGGTCATTGTATCCTACACACACATTTAAGGCATAATAGTGTGAACAGATTATGGGAGCTTTTTTTATTTCATGACATGATTTCCTTGTCACAAATAGACTTTCCATTTCAAGACTATGGAAGAGTTGTAACTTTCTGGTCTGTATATGGTGATGCACACAATTACACACAACAAACCTTTTGGATTTCAAAACTAGATTACCCAAATCATCACGCATAAACCAAATTGTGGATTTTCTTAATCCACATTTGGTTTGTGCTTTGTAGTTGTTTTTCCACCATACCTTGACATGCCATGAGCTTCAAAAATGGTTCACCTCCATGAATGGTTTCAATGGCGGTTTTCGCCACACGGGGCTAATGAATGTGTGCCAATGTTTTCACATAGCTCATTTTCACTCTTTCTTATCTTACTCGATGATATTTTCAACTTTGTGCATATCCATAGTTGATATTTGGGTTGTGACTTAATTCTTGAATTATCTAAAAGATCTTACAGCGTACTATCTTTATGTCCATTATCAATTGAGTTTTACTTTCTAAATATCATAGATAATTCAAGAATTAAGTTAGTGTGTCCCTTTAATTAAGTTACTCTCATTATTAGATGGGAATGTTTTGCATGAACAGCCACATGGGCCATCCCGTCTTATTGATGCACTTCATAAAACAATATTATATGCATTCTCTTATTTGTGGACATGTGAATTCAGAGCTGGACGAGTTTTGCAAGATTGCAAGATAACCCTAATAATACTTGCAAGCTGCAAACAGAAAGACTTCACATTTCAAACGTGACAGTAAGTTATTTGCTGAGAATTCGGGGCTGCGTTTTCAGAATATGGCAGAAAAAACGAACTCAGTTGAGGAAAGCAGCACATTCCAACAAAACTTAATACCCGTAGAACTCAAATGCTAGCTCCCGTGGATTACGATATTTCATGTGATGAGGAAGGACTATACTAGTGGCCATTACAATAAATCATTTTCACTTATGAGGGTATAACTAGATCATATTGTATGGTGGTACCTACTGTGAAAAATATATGTCCAACAAACACAGTTCATTACCATTCGCCACTTAAATACGCGGAATACGTAAACATAAACTTATTACTTTCTGGACGGGATGATATCACAATGTAAACATGGAGAACAGAAAGCTCACAAGCTAGCACTAACGTAATGAGAAAAAAATAAACATGTGAAGAGAAGTGTGTTCTTGGTCTCTTCTTACAGCGTGGGGGTTGTCTTCTTTGGGGATGAGGGACGAGAGCTTCTCGCAGAGCCTCTTCATGTGCTGCCGCCTCTCCTTCTCCGACTCCTTCTTCTCCATCAGTACCTTTGCCGTCGGCACACCAGCCGTGCCGCTGCTTGCCCTGGTCCTCTTCCCGCCCCTCGCCGGCTTTGCTTTCACCTCCATCTAGCTCAGGGAGTAGAGATTGATCAGGTTGTCTGTGTCAACGGGTGTCGATCGAAATGCAATAGAAGTGAAGAAGAAGATACCGAGGCGCAGGCAGCTGCTAGCTTCATGGTGGCAGGATGAGAATGGAGGAAGAAGAACAAGTGCTTGCGTGGCGTGGTTTAAATGGACGTGTACAGATAAGGGCCAGCCAAGGAGGCCTATGGGAGCTCTCTACTACTGCATGTATATATAGGGAACTTGAAAATATTTTTAAAAATGTGTGTGCGTGTGTATATATACTATATACGAGGTATATGTGGCTGGAGAAGTGAGATGCTGTACGTACACATCCTATTGGTTGGAGAGGGTTCAAGCGCCGATGGAGAAATATCAGCGGAGCTTTGCCTGCCGCTGTGTTGTTGCTATTATACTGGCAGTATACGTACGTACAAATGCAGAATGGACATGCAGAGCTCCGTGTGTGTCGGCAGCGCGACACGGCATTCAATGCGGTGGCAGAGGTGACAGCAGCGTGGACGTGGATCCATTGGTTAAGCAAGAAACTCGGCCATGCGCGCTCGATACAGGAACGACATGCATGATTGAGCGCAAGTGGGAGCTGCGATTTCTGCCGTTTGTACCTCGCCATTGTTGCTCTTCACAACAATAAACATACTCACCGATCCATATTACTTGTCGCTCAAACGAATGTATCTAACACTGCAGTAGATACATCCATGCGAGCGACAACTAATATGGATCGGGAGGAGGAGTAGCAATGTAATTGCAGCTGTTTTTCTTTGGCCCACTTGGGAGACGAGGAATGTTATTTTTTTGCTCGTGCCACTTGCATTGATTTGCTTATTGGTGCTCGTCACGCAGCTGTGCCATGTTTGCTAAAATGTTGGTGGCCACTAATTTGTCCCAAGAATGATTTGCCGATGATGAATAGATACTCGTGCTCATGGAAAGTCAAGCCACCGGCGATTCCCCAGCTCATCTCAACCTGAAGGAGCGCAAGCTTAGATCTTTATGTCGTCGAGGCTCCCACAAACTGGTGATGAGTGCCAATATCGATCTTTTTATTACCATATTTGTAGTTAACCGGGCACAAAATAGTTATAGTTTCATCTGAGAACACATGTCATATTAGGCTTCACCGGGATAGGCTATGGATTGTATCAGTAATTATGAAGGATCTAAAAAAATGTAAGGGTTGCCTTGACGAAGGCATATATATGGATGATGGTATGATTATATTCATATATGTTGTCATTATATTCCTACCTAGCTGGTCGAACATTGCATTGTTTTGAACCGATGGCGTTTTTGTCAATTACGAACTCAAATGTAACGTATGAGTACTGTAAGTCTAACCATGTGTGGAAAGAAAGAGTTAGCCAAGCAGAAAGCTATAGAACAATAGAATTAGACAATAATATGATGCTGAATGGATGTGGTTAGTGCTAAAGGACAATGTTTACAGAAAACACACCCAGAGAATAGAGAGTATGTGTTGCAATACCTATAGAAGGGGTGCATGTCCTTGCAGGCAATGCCGTAGTTAACCTAGCTAGGCATGAGGTTCGGATATGAATTGTTTACTTTTCAAGGCCATGTTCCATAATAAGAATTGTAAGATCAACTAGATGATGTACCACCGCTACAAATTGTTTGTGGT